TTGAATAGAAAGGTAATATGTGATCTTATTTCATTATTATCATCATTGCTATTATTGTTAGGCATCACCTGCATCCTCTCAAACAGGCCCTGAAAAATAAATAAATCATTAAATATTAAGATAGGGTCAGTGAATACATGCAGTTATTTTTAAACAGCATTAGCATCAACAAAAACAAAAATATAAGTAAGTTGTAAAAGTCTGTTAGTGAACATACACATTTTTGTTCTACTTTCTCCTTCATGTATGAATATATATTCAACAAATGCTTTTAAAAATATCAGGAACTATGTTTAATAAAAGAAAAACAAACATAATTAATAACAGATGGTTCCTGTTATTAAAGTGGGTATCTAGGCAAGGAAGAGAGACCTATGTTCTGACTAGTTCCACAGCCTGTGCTTTCACTGGTTCATACACATTTATACAACTTTCCTGTCATTATTGGATGTTTGCCGAGAGCTCATGGTGGGGAAGAAAATTCATTGTGATAAAGTACAAGGGTCAAGTAGCTACCAAAGCCTTAAAGGAAATAAGTAGGTAGAAAAATCAACTAAAATTTAATTGAGGGGGAAAAATGAATGAACACCTACAACTTCATTTTGATACCCAAACCAATGTCGTTCATTTTAATTCATTAGCCATAGCTGTGCTTGGGTGTGTACACACACATATACATATAATTCCACTTACTGTTTTCACAACCCAGCATATTGACTCTTATTTCTGATTTTTTTTGTTTTGTTTTGCCAATTACAAAAATACACTGTGGGATCAATCAGAATATAACCATGCAGAAACCTTCATAGAGACATGATAAAATTCATACTTTAAAATGATGTTCAGATAATGTCATTAGCAAAGTCATGTGAAAAAAAATCAAATAGTTGTATTCAAAGTTACCTCTTGGGTTATTAAAATAGTGTATGAACATAGCTAATCATTGCTTTATGTTTTTCTACTTGATATTAATGTTTGGGAGACACAGAATTACTTTTGTAATTTGTTAGAACTTTTCTCTATTTTAGCAGTGTTTGATAATTAATCTAAACATGTGTACTAGGAAATGATAAGTGTCTCCAATATATTAATATAAAGTTAAGCATCTTTTCTTTTATCACTATACAGAAATAGATGGCATATTTGTCATTAAATTATTTTGAAAAACATAAATTTTGTTTCTAGATATATTCTTTTTCTATTTTGAAACCGAGCTTTACAATGAAAAAGTTTTGTAATACTTTATTTTTTCTAGTGTCTGATGTAAAACACATACCATATAATGATAAGGTACATTTCAAATAATATCTCCTACATGGTATAAATTATATATCTTGTGAATTTATTTGGTCAAGATAGTGTTGACTTTTCTGTAAGTACTAAAAAAAATCCTATATTTAACTACTTCAAAATTAGTAGAGCTAGAATTATTTTGAATGGTAATTGTTGGACTTGGCCAACTCTGTGTGGCCGGATTCAAAGTTTTGAAGTAATATATTAATATTTGGAAAAGAATTTGCCACCAAGATATTATTTAATTTTATTATCTTTTGTATCTTAGCTGGTAAAAAGAGTGTCCTTCTGTGCACAGTGACAAAGCTGTGTTTCTCAAAATTGGTGTCATTTAAGTCATAATAATCATCTTGTACTATTTGGGGATTAATTTCCCTTGCAAAACACAAAATGCAGTTTAATACAGGCCTGTGTATTTTGGAAAATAACACTTTCCCTGTATAGCAATAAAAATAGTAATTGGAGGCTGAGCACCTTGTGGAGGCTCATAAAAATGTATTAAAAATGAGTGTGTGTCACTTAAGAACTTTTGCATTTCTTAATATAGAAACAGAAGTTATACTAAGCCATGAGAGAGGACAGGTTTTTGTTTTTTGTTTTTTCTTCCAGAAAAAACTATCACATCTTTAAAATCTCTTTCATTTCCATTTTAAAAGATATTAAACTTAATCATTTCAACCAGATTGAAACAATCATTTCATAACATTTCTGGTAGAAAAAGTTTATGTATTGCTGTGCTCTTTTTACAGATCTGTTTATTGCTATCTTTCTTCCACATATATGTATGTTGAAAGTGCAACATTGTTCCACTTAGATTTCCATAGCTCTATCGGTTTTTATAATTTTATTTTTTAATAATTTTATAATTTTATTAAAATAATTTTCCATTTATTAAGAATCATCAACCTTATCGACTGTAAATTGTTTAAGTAGTCTCTTATTAAATGCATGAGGAAGTTTCCTTTTTAATTGCTCTTACTGGTACCTTATATTTTTTATTTTTAAAAAAAAATTTTTAAAGATTTTATTTATTTGATAGAGACACAGCGAGAGAGGGAACACAAGCAGGGGGGTGGGAGAGGGAGAAGCAGGCTTCCCGCCGAGCAGGGACCCCGATGCGGGGCTCGATCCCAGGACCCTGGGATCGTGACCTGAGCCAAAGACAGATACTTGACTGACTGAACCACCCAGGCGTCCCTGTTTTATATTGTTTATAAGTATTTTTACACATTTCCAAAAAAGAAAGTTTTCTAGGATATGTGCATTGCCTTGTCAGAATCAGATGTCTTGAGTCAATATTTTTTTTAAATATTTTATTTATTTATTTGACAGAGAAAGATAACGAGAGCAGGAACACAAGCAGGGGGAGTGGGAGAGGGAGGAGCAGGCTCCCTACTGAGCAGGGAGCCTGATGTGGGGCTGGATCCCAGGACCCTGGGATCATGCCCTGAACAGAAGGCAGATGCTTAATGACTGAGCCACCCAGGCATCCCTGTACTTTATATTTTTTAAATTAATTCATCATTTTTATGGAAGAATTACCAAAATTAATAATATTTTCAAAGAACTATTATCTTTGTTTCAGTTTTACTATATTATGCGGTTTGTTCTTATTAAGTTATGTTCTTTTTTATTATTTCCTCCATTCTGAATTTTTACATTTTGTTATTTTTTTCTGGCATCTTGAGATGGTATATTTAGTCAATGAATTTCTACTGTGTTTTGATATAAATGTATGCACTAAAGGCTATGAAGTATCCTCTGAGCTAAGTATAACTGCATCTTACAAGTTTCATATGTTGTTTCTTCATTATCCTTCATTTAATTTTGTTTTACTACTTCTTATAAATCATAGGTTACATAGAAGTGTTTTGTTCCAAGTGGGTGGAATTTTCTATTGATTGATTTTTATTTGTACTCTACCACAGATGTCTCAGAAGAAGAAATTTAAGTCAAATCTTGGGGAAAAATGTAATATATCAGAATTCCTGATAAAACAGTCTAATGGTTTTTACTAGTGGAATGTTAATGGAGGGTCTTGATTTATGAAAAGCTTTTAGCAGTATATACATGGTCTGTCAAGGTAGCCTATTATAAATAAATTTATTTTTATGGGTTTATAGTGTGCCAGATTATCCAAAAAAATGTGGAGTAGTCAAAAAGCCAGCTAATCAATTCCATAATCAATGGCTATAAAGTGAATATTTCTAAAATCAAAAGAACTCGTTTTGTAGCAGTGTCTGTACTTACAATGCTCAGAACAAGTATTTTCTGTTAAATTTTAAACCAAAAATGGTCCCAAATATAGGAGGAAAAAAGGCATTTTGATGGAGTTTTCATGGGCTGCAACAAAATCATTAAATGAGGTTCATGTTTTCCATAATCATAAGCCAACCTAGGGTTAATTGCATCCAAAGCTTCCTACTGCAGCTCGTGGCTTACTCAACATCCTCACTACTAATAACCTAATCCCAACCAGCACTTGACTGGCATTTCTGACTCTACCTGAGACTGACTATAGTCTCTCCTCTACAGAGCGTTACAAGTCAGTTTTCACCGAAGCATAATTATCTCAAAAATATATGGTTTTTAAATGAGCAGTTGAACAAACTTCACAGTTTGTGGACCTCTATTATCATATTGCAAGTTGAGAAATAGACTGTTACCCATATTGCAGAAGCTATTCTTGTTTTTCAATTAACTATATATTCCCTACCAATGATAGCTACCATCTTGCCTTCTAACACTACAGTACTTCTGTCTGGTTTTAAATTAGTATAAAATGAATTATAAAATATGTATACTTTGTGTGGCTTTTTTCTCCAATATTATCTCATAAGAGTCATCCTTGCTGAGTATATTTCATTTATTTTCTATCATTACACTTTGGTGAACATTCGGTCTGTTTCCAGCTATCTCTTTATAAATCATGCTGCCCTGAATGTCCTTGTGATTTCTCAGTATTCATGAACACTCACGTATACCTTTGAGTAGAATGATCAGTTGTGAGTGAGTTCATGTATTCATAAATTTACTAGGAAGTGTCAGATGGTTTTTCAAAGTTGCCCTACTGATCTATAGTACCACAAGCAACATAGGAGAGTTTAAGTTGCTTCACATCCAACATCTGTTGTTTTTGGGCCTTTATATTTTGTTACTATTGGGTGTGTAATGGTATCTTGTGTTTCTTTTAATTTTCATTCATGAATCATGAATTTCCATGAATTTGTTTTTAATTTATATAAGTGCAATTGATAATAAAATGAGGCATCTTTTAAAATGTTTATTGGTCATTCGGATATAGTGTTTAATGAAGTGTCTGAAAATTTCTTACATATTTTTCTATTTTAATGTCTTTTTTCTGTTGATTTATGAAAGTTCTTCATGTTTCCTGGAAAACAAGATCCCTTTAAATTTTACTCTCCTAAAGATGATTTTTGATAACAAAAGTTGTTAATTTTAATGTAGCTCAGTTACTAATATTTTTCATGTTAGTGTTGATTTCTGTTTAAAAAGAGTTTTTCCCCCAAATTCATAGGTTAGCTATTCTGAAAGTAGTGCTCCATATGAAAGCATCCCAGTATTTAATGGCCTCAAACGACAAAGTTTTTCCTAACAAGTATGCAGGAGGGTTAGTGTTGGTAGGGTGACTCTCTTTCTCACCAAACATACGTGGTACAGCTGTGTTGCCTCTGCTTCAGGCTTCAGCTCAGATGGAATGGCCCTCCAAGTGCCTCTCATCTTCCTCCCAGGACCAGAGGGCTTGCTGGTGCACCTTCTTCTCTAGGCAAGAGCAAAGTGGAAGAGGAAACACTCAAAGCCTCCTAAGTCCAGAGCTTGCAAACGGTACCGTTATTTCTAGTTTATTTTATGTTTTAAAATTTTATTTATTTATTTGAGAGAGACAGTGGGCAAGAAGGGGTGCGTAGACAGAGAGACAGAGGGAATGAACCAGGGGAGGGGCAGAGAAGCAGACTCCCCGCTGAGCAGGGAGCCTGACACAGGACTGGATCCAGGACTCTGGGATCATGACCCCAGCTGAAGGCAGACACTCAACTGACTGAGCCACCTCTAGGCACTTCTCTAGTTTATTTTAATTAACAAAACAAGTCAAATTATCAAATCCAAAGTTAAGAGGGGACAGGAGGTCAATCTACTTCATGTCTTTAGGGGAGAAATGCAAAATCATATGCCAAAAGATTGGGTTAATAATAAAGTATACTTCATCAAATTAGTGAAAACATTCTCATATATCATCTGATGTTATCTTCATTTTTTTAACATTCTCTTTTACATATAAATTTCCCATATCTGATTACTGTGAACAGTTAAGGTATGCATCAAGTGTTTTATTTATATTTTTATATGGATGTTCCAATTTAATAATTACCATTTATTAAAAAGACTGGCTTTCTTCTGCTCTGAAATGACATTTTTATAAATATTGGTGTCCTTTTGGTCTCTATGTGTTGGGCTATAAGTATATCCTTATGACAAACCCACATTATTTCACTGTTATAGCATTTATAAAATCTTGCAGAGTAAATTCCCAGTTTTTTTTTCATTTTCAAGAATATTTTGGCTTTTCTGGGAGGAATGTAGTCCATATAAATTTTAGAACCAGATGTTCAAAATCTACCAAGTATTTTTGATGAGGTTATGATTGGAATGCAGTTGAATCAATAGACAGATTTGAGAAAAACTTACATCTTTACAATTATAAGACTTATAATACTTTTAGCAACCATCCACTGATTTAGGTTTTCATTAATGTCTTGCAATAATGTCCTATAATTTTCTGCACAGAGTCTGCCATATCTGCTTTTAGAATTTTTACCCAGACATTTGATATTTTTCATTCATATGCATTATATCATTTCTAAAAATGTTTTGTATCATTGAAATATTGAAATGCATTGATTATAGTCAGTGGCCTTGCAAACAGGAAAGTTTTTGGATTCATTTAAATTGAATGACACTTCAGGACTTTTTTTTTTATTACAGAGAATAGAACATACTATCTTCGGGTAATAATTCCTTTTAAAATTTCTTATACCATCTTTTTCTTCTTATTTACCTATTGTACTGGCTAAAGCCAATGGTGCAGTGGTGAATAATGCCAATCTTAGAGAAAAATCTTCCTGGATGTTTTGTAAAGTATAAATGAATTCAACTTACTTTTCTGTTTCAAACACCCTAAAGTTTTCCCATAAAAGTTAAAGTAAAATTTGAATAGTCATGGAATGTTGGCTATCTCTAATCTCTTTTCCCCATTTTCTGTGCAAGAATAAGAACAGAATGTTTTGGATCAGTAAGCTCATTAGGATAGAGTATGGTGCTAATAATTCATAGGGTTTTTTTCTTTTTAGCCACTTAAGTTCATTGAGATTCTCTGATGTAGGTAAGCAAAAACTGCATCCAGGACTATGCATAAGCATTTTTACTTTAAATAATATATAGCCTCAGTAATTGAAACTTACCCAAAACATGCATGTGCACACTGCGTACCTCCCCTCCCCGCCACTATACAATGGGGAACGGCTGTCTAAGACAGTGAATATACAAACTTCTCTCTCTGATTATTTCTTAAGTAATGCTTTCTCTTGAATAATTTACAAATATTTTTGGACTTTCACTTTAATCTTTTGTAAGTACCTTAAGTTCTGCAGATTGAAATAATTGTATATTTTAAGTATTACTTTAATAGTCAAATGTAATTTTTATAAAAATTCTTCAATATAGAAAACATCTGTCCCTTTACTACATTTGAGAATATAAATTTGAGATTAATTTACCTAGGATTATTCCTCTAGGCAACTTTTTAACTCCAGTTCATTAACTTATTAATTTACAGTTTTATTTATTCACTCAATAAGCATTTATTGAGCAGTTTTTAAGGCAAAAAGTTATGCTTTTTGTATAGAGTTAAAAACAGAACAGACAATTCCTAAAAACTTTTATGTGTACACATACACACACAATGCAGAACCATCAAAAGCAAGAGAACAATGTTGAGATAATATAAACATGAAAACTGATATGCCCTTTGAATTTATCAGTGTGAAAGTCAGTGACTTTGGGGGTGAAATTTAGGTTCAGTGATGTATTATGATAGGTTGTTAAGTGTTATGAAAGAGAAATTGTGAATATAGAACTTTAGAGGAAAGAAATGGACTAGGAGCAGAATAGAGAAGTATGTGGCAAAAGAGATACTTTGTTATTGCTCTGTGTGTGTGTGTTTTGTTTTGTTTATTTAATGGGAAGGACTAGCATCCACTTCAGTATGTGGATGTAGTTGAACTGTGAAAGCAAGATGTTGAAAAGACATTTCAGAGAGATAATAGGTATGGCTGACTCTATAACATATGCTCATTCTATGGAGAGTTACAGTCTCATTTAATCAGTTCACTGAGAAAAACTGTACAAAATTATTACTTTTTTCTGCACAGAAGTTGGTTCTTCCATTCTTGATTCTGCTTTCATACAGTTGATACCATAGTAGAATTTTCTCAGAGTAGGAAATGCTAGATTATTGTAAGCAGAAATAATCACTTTAAACTTCATATTTTGAAAACCAAATAAACCTCATATTTTATAATGAATTATAGCCCTCTTTTTTTGTATATGAAATGCAGTGTGATGAAAATAGTTCATTAATGTTGAGTTCATTGTTGATGATTGACAACCATGTTTATTACAATCTAAATGTTGGGAACTCTAAAGAAGAATTAAAAAGTCCTAAAGAAGAAATGTTAGGTGTAGAGTGGTAAAGGCATTGAAGGAAAATGGAATATAAGGTTGTAAAGTGAAGCAACATTATTCCTGGAAACCCGCAAACTAAGATATGTAATGAAGGTAAATAGCTAAATATCAGATCGTAGAAGTAAAACAAGGATATAACTTTTAAAACCTGGTTTTTGTCTTATATTATTTAATGGAACTAAATCTTTAATTGATTATACTGTTTCAGCACCTACTCTCAATGATGAAGCTCTTTAGCTCTCCCTCAACCTAAATGTGCTTTACTACTTTATTTGACAAATTTGCTCAGAGTCTAACATGTCAAGAACTCTGAAAAGTACTGTAGATAAAAAGCCCATTTTATGTGGAGATCCAATAGCGAGGAGGAAACATGCATGTAAACTGCTAAGCTGCAATAAAATTTGTTAAATGTAATTGAAGAGGTTACAAAATGTGCAGTGGGAACAGAGACCGAATAGAGACTGAATGAACCGGGCAAGGAGCAGCAAGGGCAGAATTATCATTTAATATGCAATTTTAAAATTCTCATCAGAGAAATCGGCATGCTACATAATGAACTGTAACATGTAAAATATGAAACATATGCTCAGAGAGCCTGTATATCTGTGTTCTGAGGTAGAGTACATCTTCCTAATTCCTATCTTCTTTTGGTGGGTGTCTTCCATTAGGTATCAATGTTATCATTAGTGCATCCTTCTGAGGATACCTTACCAAAATGTTATAACTGGTCTAATAAAGAGACCATAAAGTCTCCATATAGCTTTCATTCTCATGAGTCTTACTGATTAAGAGAAATGTATAAATTGAGCCCAAACAATGAATCTAGACTGTGTTCCTATTTGAAATGGATATGGATAGCTCTATAATGCCATTAATTATATTCCTTTTTAAAAAATCACTCCTTAAACACACACACATACATATGTTTAATTTTAATTCCAGTACACTTAACACACAGTAGTATATTAGTTTCAGGTGTACAATATGGTGATTCAATAATTCTATACATTACTCAGTGTTCAGTACATAATTTTTAGAAGTATACTATCTCCCAGTGCTTTATGCTGAGTCAGTGGATGAAGAAATTAACAAAACCAACTTAGTTTTATCTTACAGGATTTATATTTGGGAGCTGGTAGGGAGGCGTGCGTTAAATCAACCTTGAAAAATTATTCAGTTAAAATTGTGTTGAGTACTACAAGGGGATGTACATTTTGTTTTAGGAAAACGTAAGTGAAGCTAAGCTTTCTAAATAGGGAATATTTCGCAGAGAAAGGTAAAATAAAGACTGATGTAGCCATAAGAGAATATGGTTCCTCCTGTAGCTGCTATTATTAATATCTAGTTCAAACTAATTATCAGAGCATTTTATCTTCCATATGCCTGATCATTATTCAGTTTGGTTGCGTTTAGTCATCAATTTTAACACCTTAGAAGGTAATTGTGGTCATGGTTCCAGATTCACTACCACTCCCTCCTCTTGCCTGACATCTAGTGGAAGAGATAATTGGTGGGAGAATCACCTGGGGGAAAATAAGGCCAAATCATTAAAGGGAAATAGCAGAGAAGCTGCTTTTCTGGATCACTCTATTTTATAGAGTGAGTAAGACTGTACACACTTCATTATTGTAATATGCTTATCTTTGCTTTCACTGTATATTCTGTAGGGATTTTAATATATTTCCCTAGTAATTAGCTGACAGTATTCATCACTGATGTTGCATCATTGGCTGAGAAGTGCCTTTCTTTTCTTGATAATCCTGAAATACAACATGCATTTATAATTTAACATGACCTCACATTAGCTTAGTCAGGCTTTTCCTAGAATATGAGGACAGTATTTAATGGTGTTTAATTTTTCTGTCAAATATAATTTTTAGACTCATATAAATGAGGATAAATCAGCGTATGGATTTCAAGGTAAAGAAATGGACTCAAATATCATGCAATATATGTGCCTTTTATATAAGAATTTAACCAATGTATTGCTGTAGATTAAGTATAGAAGTAAATGTGAATAGCCTTAAGTAATATGTTGAAGATACTCAATTGAGGTAAGATTTAATTCTAGGAGAGTAGAAGTA